CTCAAATATTGAAGTGTGTTTCATGTACATACAAGTTCTCAAGATCTGTTAAAACATGTAAAACTATTTTCCCTTATGATAAGCATAATATGCTTCTGTGTTTTATAGCATTTATTTCCTCTTATTTGTTACTTCTTAAAAACTATGCCTTTAACCATCCTTTATATCTTGTCCTGTTGTGAAAACAGTGAAAAAAGATATGCTGGTTCAATGTACAGCCTAATTTTATAGACTGTGTTAAGACAGTAGAGACTGAGAGATACCTGCCACCCATCATTCTTTCTAGAATAATAGAATATAATGGAAGAACCCTGAAGCCTGTCACAACTAGCTCTGAGATTGTGACAAAGTTAGTTGTCCTATCTTGCCTTGATGTCTTTGATTACAAAATGAAACATTTTAACCAGAAATCTCTCCAATGTCCCCTCTTATTATAAGGTAAAATTTTATCAAGCAAATTTCCATCTAATGCATATTATTTGGCTACAGGTACAGCTCAGTGGTAAAAAACTTATATAGTATATAGGAAGCCCTGGGTTCAATCCAAATATCATCAGCAAAATGAATTGATACACATTATTAAAACATTGAATGCAGAAACAAAAGAATAGTTTGGATGGTTTTCTAATTATTATGGGCTAAAACAGAACATTAAAGAAGCATCCAGTATCTTGAAAGTCCCTCTCACAATAGTCACTATTGCAGATGACTTTGCTATTTAAATTCACCTTTGCCAGTTCATTGGTGCTGGAATTCTATTTGTACTCCCAAAGGTAGCACATCCAATAACAGAAAAAAAATGTTATTCAGTTGTTGAAATGCCCAATCCCCACATAATGTTTTGCCAAAGCTGCATTTTAAAAAGTGATTGACCACCCACCCCATTGATTTTCTTTTCCTTTTTTTTCTTTTCTTTTTTATTCAAATATTTTCATCAATTGGATCACAAGCAACAAGCAGGCGGTGGAAATTTTTGCAAACTCTTGGCTTTCTGTACCAACCTAATAGCAGATGAATATTTCCTCACTACAGATGAAACAAATGTTTCTCTTTGGATAGGTTTTCCCATTAAACAAACTTGAGCCATTGAAATCTATGTTTAGATTTGGACTGCTGGGACATCACCAAGTTAAATAGCTGTTTGCTGAAATATCTATTTTATTTTGCTGATTCAGAAACATGTTAATTGTTCTGTGAATTTAATAACAATCATCAAGTATTATTTTTAAAATAATTACTTTGTCAAAAGGTGGTACTTCTAATGTTTGACTTACTTTGGCTCACAAAGTAGACTTCAATCTTACAAAAATTATTTAAGCTATCTTTTTTTTTGATGTCATTTCTTTTCCCTGAATATAAACATTTTTTTTCAACTTTTGGTGACAATCACAATCATATTCTGCTCAAATCAATCCAAAGAGAAGTCCAAGATCAGTAAAATGACTAACTAGTGCTTAATAAGAAAGAAAAAGGAAAAAAAACAAACAGATTTTTCAAAAGTTCATACCTATATTTCTTTGGGGCTACTTGCCCTTTCTTGACCTCAGTTTATACAGTTTCCTGTGTATAAAATTATGAGCTTTGCATGAGATGATTTCCAAAATCTCTCCAGCCCTAAATTTCTAAGGACTCTATGACCCCATTTTTCAAGACTCACTAAGCTAATTTACTGCAGACGCAATATAGTCCAAAATCAATGCCAATACACAGCAGCACTGAGACAAAGCTACTAGGACTCGAAATGCGTTTGGTGGTAAAGAGATTTGATCTAAATGAAAGGATAGGCTAGTTCTCATTAAGTAGAACTGGATATCTTTAGTCATTCTTTTGTAACCTATTACACACAAGGGTGGAATTCCCACCTAAATCCAGAGCATTATCCCTGTTCTTTGCACTCACACTTTCTTCTTCTTTGTCCATCTGCAGATTCAAAGGTATTGATTGAGTTAAGATAAGCTCTAGTTTAGAAGAAGTGATATTTGCTCTGTGCCAAACCTCAGATCCTCCCTCCTCAGATGCCCCAGATCCTAAGCAACCAATATCCTAAGCAACCATTAGGATGGCATTAAAGTATACACTTTTTAGAGGTCAATGTGGTTACAAAACAAGAATAAAACGACCGGTGACTAATCCTGCTCCTTGGCTTTCCATGTTATCTATCCTGGCTTTTCTTTTATTAACAAGCCTCATCAGGGAACTATATTTCAAGCGTCAGGAAAAATAATGTAAGTGAATCAAGACAATCTTTGATCTTCAAAAGAAAAAAAAAGGATCAAATTTGCCAATATCTCTTGTCCTGTGACCCAATCATTGACAATAAGAATAAAGAGTAAGCCTCTCCTAGGACTTTAAGGCCAACTTTAGGTTGCTTAATAAAGAGAGCCATAATGATTGATACCACCTTGTTTTTCCCTTTTCCAAATTTTGATTAATGAAATTGGATCAACATTATGTTTTTTATAAATAAAGACCAAGAGGGGCTGGGATTGTGGCTCAGTGGCAGAGCACTTGTCTCTCATGTATGAGGTACTGGGTTCCATCCTCAACACCACATAAAAATAAATAAATAAAATAAAGGCATTATGTCCATATACAACTAAAAAAAATTAAAAAGAAAGAAAGAAAGACCGACCAAGAACAAGACAGTAATACCGCAGAACTGATGTCATTGACTGGCTGAACCAAAATCCTTAGCAACTATTAAAATATAGATTTCTTGTCATAGATAAAACCAAGGTGTTTGTTTCGGTGAACACAGTGCTATGCTGGCTGAATCTCTATCCAGGATGGAGATATTTACTCTCCCAAGTCCTAAGAAGATCTTGAGCGACATCTCTGAGCTGTCAATTCCTCTTCCAGAATTGCATTAGTTGAAGACAGCCTCCTCAAAAATATGCCCCCTTTCCTGAGGAAAGTTGCATCCAATGACTAATTGAAAACCTGAGTGTCATTTCTCAAAATGGCTAACTCTCAAGGGCTATCTCATCTGAAGTGCTACCACACATCCTTGGTATTGTCCGTGTGTGTGTGTGTGTGTGTGTGTATAGTGTTAAAATATATATATTTTATATGTTCATCTACCCTTCACTATCTCTAAGGTGATGCTCCTGAAAAAACTCCCAATGAAATAGTTCATCTCAAACAGGCTCTGTCAGAAACCAATTTACAATATTGTTTAGTGGACTCTTAGGTATTCTGATACAGTGGTTTCCTTATCTATGGGGGATATATCTCAATGGATGTACTAAACTCTATAATTCAATGTTTTTTTTTTCCTTTTTGATGAAGCAAGTATACACTGTGGCTAGAGCTTTCAAAGTTTAAAGTGACAGTAAAAAATAGTACAAATTTCTTTGTCCTTCATAATCTCATTGTGACTGTAATTCTTAGGGACATCAGATTACCATTTTTCCCCCTTTCTGGTTAAATCAAAAACTCCTTCTCTTTACTTGAAAGAAATATTTTGACTTCTCTTTAGCACATGTGAATTGCCAGCTGGATTACCCCTGTGCTTTGGAGTAGAGTTACCTGAATGCAAGCACTGCCTTGCCACCATAGTTAGTCTGAGAGTGAGACAGGTACCAAGCAACTAACAAAGGGGTAGCATATAGAATGTGGATACACTGGGCAATAAGATGATCCACATCCCAGGTGTGAGGAAGAAGGATGGCACAAAATTTCATCACACTATCAAATCAGCAGGCAGTTCAAAACTTGTAGATTGATTATTTCTGGAATTTTCCATTCAGTATTTTTGAAACACAGTTGAATTTGAGTAACTGATATTACAGAATGCAAAACCGTAGATAAAGTGGACTATTGTTATTGTGGCCAGAATTATTCCTAATGTATACATAAGTGTAAGAGCCAAGTGGGTGACATGCTGCTGAAACAGCAACTGGTAAAACTAACTCCAAAAGAAGAGAGTTTGCCATGTGGTGGAAAACCCACAGCATATTTTGGATATTGGATTCATGTCCAGGCCTGGTCACGTTCCACCCAGGTAAAGTTAAGCAAAATATTTAATCTTCTGTAAATCTTTTTAATTTTAAGTAGACAAATAATGACCTTCTTATTGTTTTAATTAATTTTGGTGAATGATAAAAAGATAATACTTGAGCTGGGCATGGTGGTGCATGCCTGTAATCCCAGTGGCTCAGGAGGCAAAGACAGGAGGATTATAAATTCAAATCCAGCCTCAGCAAAAAGTGAGTCTCTAAGCAACTTGGTGAGACTCTGTCTCAAATAAGATACAAAATAGGGCTGGGGACATGGCTCAGTGGTTGAGTATCCCTGAATTCAATCCTCAGTACCAAAATAATAATAATAATAATAATAATAATAATAATAATAATAATAATAATAATTCCAGTATATATATTGATTCCTTGGCTATTTTTGGGGGGGAGTCAACAAAGTAACACATAAATAACATTTAACATGTTTAGTCCCTACTCTATGTAAATAGTAAATATTATTCATATATCTAAAATTGTTTTATGAATTCATAGTAGTCCAAAATTTTATTTTCAGAGTTGAAGAGCCTGCTTTGTATAAATGATCACTTTCCATGCATGATCTTTTCTCTTTCAATTTTCTTGTAAAATACATATATGTGGGGCAAGGTCCCAGTGTGATATACGGAAGAGGCAGCAGGGGACAGATGTGAGGATTCAGGAATGGCAGGGGTGTAGACAGGCAGAGTGGTCTCTGAGCACCCTCAGAGGAGGTTGTGGGAGCATGGTTCAGTTGTGACATATCACAGTGGCCTTGTCCAGGAGCCAGGGTGGCTTCAGATATTGGAGCGTATATGCTACTTCAGCTTAAGAGTATCAGGCACTGAGATCCTTGTGGAGAAAACTCTGTCCCAGTTTTGACAGGTACTTGTTCCTTTATGCATGATGGTGCATTTAACAGATACACATTGCTCACAAGATGATGCTGGCTTTTGCATTTATAGCTTTGGAGTACACTCTAGTATACACTCAGTAACTACTCACAGACTTTGAAGCATCTCATCCATCTGATTCTGATCGCCATCCAGCTGTGCCTTTAATAGTGAAGAACTAGTTCTTTCTTAGCCAGAAGACCTATTCAATGGCAGAATTGAAAGTTACCTTTCACCTTTTGCATGAAAAAAGAACAAAACAGTTGAGATCACAGGCAGAGCACTCACCTAGCATATGCATGGCTGTTGGTTTGATCTCCAACATCACAAAACCAAGACAAAACAAGCAGCAACAATAAAGTAAGTTCTTGAGGGTCATCTTTTAGAGCACAGGGAAAGAAACAATAGTTATTACCATAGACCTAATGCTGATGAGGAGTGAAAATATGGTAAGTTGTTGACAAGTTCCCCAGTTGCTATGCAATTGGTTCTTGAAACAAAGAAACTTTCTCCTTTCTAAGAATCTCTGGTCTATTGGGGAAGGTGATGGTTTAGGTCCCATGTGGTAGGAGGCTCACTGGGAGACTCTCTGGCTCACCACCACTGGAATCTAGGCAGTCGAGGGCATGCTGCCAAGGCAAGTTTATCAAGGTTTTATTCCAGTTAGGAGCCACAAGTCTTCAGGGAACAGCAATTACTGGGCAGATTGCTAGGAGAGCTGGACTCTGGCTCTCTATCTCTAGAACAGTGTTTGCATACTGGCAACTTGTGAGCTCAACCTGGCCTAAGATATGTTTTATTTGGCTCCTATGCTGTTTTAGAAAAATGTTACCAACATTTAGAACTGGGAAATTTTACATAAAAATCCAGATTTCTGGCTTCTGCTAAAAAAAAGTGATCTGGCAATATGGGGTTCACATTCCCATGTGATATCAATTGGCTAAGTCCATGTAGCTGTGCTCCAACAAGAAGAGAATATGTTCTATTCACCATAGTCCCCACCACTCCCAAATACCCACCAATCCTGAACCTGAGAATCACTTGCCATTTATCACATTTACCTGTGGTACATTTTTCACAGTGTAGAGAAATATTTTTCTGTATAAGATTTTTTAAAAGCAGAATAAAACACATAGAAGGAGATGTTCTCGAGTTGAAAAAAAAATAGAAAAATATTTCCTAGTCCAGGTGAAGAATAATTCACATTTAATCCTATGTAATTTACATTCTATGCTTGGCCCTAAATCAGGGGAAAATCCTCATTCCTCTTTGGTCTTTCATAATGAAATATAATTTGGTGAAAATACAACCCTCATCCAATCACACAATATTGACCTTGGGATTGGATTTGACATAGTAAGTGTTCAACCATTTAGATGGGTGGATGGATGGGTGGAAGAATGAATAGATTTAAGCAGAAAAAGACTTGGGACCAACCCATTTCTCACATTACATAAATCATGTGGATTCTGAGGGAGGCTCGCTGACTTCAAAGTTGTGAAAGAAATGTGCATATTTTAAATCCCTGCTGGAATATTGAACCTTTTCCACCAGCTAACACTATGCAAAACATGATGAATCTTAATTTACAAAAGAAATCCACTGGACTATTTCATAATATCACATGAGAGAGAGTTTTAAGGACATATCTTAAGGCTTTATGCTTGATTTTTTTTCATGCTCATTGAAAAAAAAATCAGAAGCTTATAAAGACATTGATGATTTGCTTAACAAATTTATAACCAGCATTTTGGGGGAAATACCTCCAATCTAGGTTCAGTATCTATGTACAGGGTGTTATCCACATAAGAGGTCTTGTTTGAAATTTCAGCCCACACCATGGACTGAGATAAAGACGATATTACATGAAAGGGAAAACAAGATTCAAGTAGAGAACAAATAGCTCAATAGGAGTGAAGAGTGTTATACAACCACAAAGACATCCCAAATAACCAAAGGAAATGATAGAAATATAGAATGCTACCATTCCACACTATGTGCTTCTCAGATGTTTTCTAGTTTTATTTTCATTTTTTGGTATCACAAAGGTTTGTGTTGATGCATGTATTTTCTGTGATGGTATGTTTGTGTGGGGAGTGTGCTGCGTGTAGTGGGATATGTGTGTGTATCGGGTACTGTGTGGATGTCTGTGTGTGTCGTGGTTTCTATATGTGTATACTGTGTGGTGGTGTGTGTGTGTAGGGAAGTGTGTGAACCTGTGTGTGTGCAGTGTTGTGTATTTATGTGCATGAATGTTTTTGAGAAAGTTGCAGCAGAAGCAGCAAAGAAGGAATACTGAGTCAATCATTCATCATGTGAAGAAGACGGCAAAACACAGTAGAACCTATTAAACTGGAAAAATGATATGAAAGGTGAGCATATATTCAATTTAAGGGAATGATTGGTTTAGAGAAATTGCATCTGTAGCTTTCAGAGGTGGAAATGGTATTAAGGATAAATGTTCAACTGAGAAATATTTTTCTCACAAAGGAATCCGATCCTCACCTAAAAATTTTTAAAAAGGACTGTCATGGAAATTCCTTGTCATTGTTACATTTTCCATGTTCAGTTGAAGCTCAGAGAAATATCAGATTACACAATGTTTTAAAGCCCCCACATTTTTGCCCACTGGTTGTTATATGCAAAAAAAAAAAGACAAGGAAGGAAGGAAGGAAAATTAGATTTGATTCCATCCTTTAAGTACACACACTTGAGGGTTACCATCACTTTACTGCAAATCTATATGGTTTGATGGTCTATGGTCATTTGGGGGCTGCTCAGAATCCAACAAACCTCTTATTTCTATGATAACATCTCTCTTCACCTCCACACACACTTGGCCAATCAGATGTTCCTGTACAGAATGTTGAATCTGGAATAGGAACCAGAGGGAACAGGAGAAGTTAAGAAATTATTCATAGCACAACACAGCAGCTTTGACAATATTGAGTTTTGTAGTGCCAATCAAAATTAAAAAGTGTCCTAACTAGATTCCCTTCATCCTTGACCATATTATAAATCTGGTTCCCAGCTTCATAAAAATGTTTTGTTTCTCCATGTGATTCTTTGTTGCAACGAATAAACCAGAAATTTCCGTTGACTGAAGTCAATAAGTTGATTCTGCAAAGTGAGGAGATCCTCTTACAAAAGATATTACAAATGTATTAATTTACATGTAAAACTGCAAGGGGTATGCTTTTATGTTTTATGGCTAACACATTCCCTTTCAAGAGAAGTTTATATGGCAATCTTTATTATAAACTGAGTATTTGGGGAACAGGGAATCTATGAGATGATAATTTTATATCAGACACATCTGGTTACAATTGGCCACGGGATCAAACATTGGAACGCTGATATATCTTTATTCTCATTAGCAGGTCTCTCATGCTATAAAAACAAAAAAAAGTGGAGAAGAAATTTTGGCTTTCTTTAAACCTCTAAAAGTATTTTGGATGAGTTAAGTCACTTCTCTGATTCTTTGTTTTCCGTATTTCAAGATGATACTACACCATGATGATATATTCCAATACATTTCAATGTCAGACTTTGCTGTTTCCAAAGTGATAATAAAAACCTTGCAAAAGGTTCCAAAATCATCCACTTAATCATTGTTTTTCCATAGTACACTCTTCAATAAAGATCCTGTCCCGAGGTTAACTTTGATAACTATTAGGCTGAATCTATAGTTGATTATCAGCTTTTATTAAAATTTTAAAAACTAATCTGAGATAATGTAACAATAGATCACCAAAAAGTATCAGATATTTAGAAAATTGAACTATTAAAATTAGTGTAGTGATTTATCTCAGCTACTCATGTCCTCACCTCCTTGTTTTTAATTAGAATGATTGCTCTCTTTGATAAATATAATACTATCATATTTCCATAGATTATTTTCTTGTGTCATTCTCATTAATGTAACTAGGCACAATGGCACACACCTATAAACCCAGCAACTCAGGAGGCTGAGCCAACAAGATCATAATTTTGCTAGCCTTGGCAATGGAGGGAGGCCCTAAACAATTTAGACCCTGTCACAAAATGCAAAATAAAGAGGGTATATGGCTCAGTGATAAACTGCCTTTGGCTTCAATCCTCCATAATACCTCCCCACCAAAAAGCAGGAAAGAAAGAAAGAGAGAGAGAAAGGAAGAAAAGGAGGAAGGAAAAAGAATGAAACTAATGTAATGGTACAAAAGTTATGTGTCAGTTATTAATTCTTCTCAAATCTGCATAAAAGGAGAAGGAAAAGAAAGTAGGGAAAAGAGATTTTAGAATCATGTGTCTTGTATTTACATTTCAGTTTTGGTACTAAAGTGGACTTTGACCTTGTACAGCTCAAAAAATTAACTAACATTAAATGATGACCCAATTATACTTTTTTGTGTGATAACACAATGTATACTTTTGTGTATGAACTTGTATATGTTAAGAATATTTATAAACACAAATGTTTTGTATATAATAGTGGTGCCTATTAAAAATTTAGGAAGTAATGATAAGTTTCTAAGCAAAACATGCATAAGTACACTCATGAAAATAAAACATTTGGCTTTCTAAAAAATTTGCTTAATAAACTTTGCAAACTTCCCTTCATTAAATCTCCAGTTATTATCTGTCATGCTTTGCATGTTCATTCACAAACGGAAACAGAGTTGCTACCAGATAAAAACAATATAATAAATGTGAGAAATAACAAAAGTTCCTGTCTTTGTATATCTAATCGTATTCTTAAGATAACTTGACATGTTTTATGAAAATAAATAAAGATGCAGCAGAACATAGGGCAAACAGCACTGACTAGTATAGTCAGTGAACATCTGAAGAATTCTGAGAAGAGAAAAGCACTGTGATTCTGCTTCTTTAGAGAAATAGGACCTTGAGCTTATACTTGAAGTAATAGAGTCTCTGTTTCTTAGGGGATATTTCTAGGAAAGGTGTCATAATATGTAGGATAATAAATTTACTGTTTAAGCCACTGCATGTATATTGATAATTTATCAGTACAAAAAAAAGAAAAGCTAACAGATTTTGATACATAAGAGTAAGGTATTGTTGTTTCTTTGTAATGTTTTGTTTTACCTAAGAGCAAAGTAGCTTTAGAATTTGGCAGTGAGCAAGGGTGAGAGAACTTTTAGGAGCAGGTTAGAATAAACTCAGATTGCCCTGAAAATATCATTGTAGAAATGTGGGTGTCAATGACTCTGCTGATGACAACTCAGAAGGAGGTGCAGAGCCAGGTGGGAGAAAATAGAGACATCCTTGGAATAAGTCTTCGTCCCAGCACACAGACTTTTAGTAAAAATATGCACATAAACCTGTTTTAGGTGGACCCATGGAGAAGAGAGTTTCTTAAAGAATGGCAGAAACTTCACAGACTTGTGTCCTAAAATTATGTGAAAAGTGAAACTCATAAACAATATTGAATTAAATATGAGGCCAAGATTTTCATGCAAAGGTTTGAAGAAGTAACCTTATTTCTTTTTGCTACTTATAATAAATATAAACAATAGCGACAAATTAAGAAATGAACATTAAAAAAGTAAGGATTCAAGATATAACCTTTGTGGGCATTTTCAGTCTATCTAGTTTGCAGAAGATGCTAAAATTGAGAGATTCACTGGCAGGGAAATACAATCTAAAGAAAACATCTAAGATGAGGTTATAACACCTCTTGCTAAAACCTCAGGAACATTAAAAACCTAGAGTATTCAGAAACCAAAGTCTTTTTGAAGAGGCTAAGAGTATGCCTCTCAGAGCCCCTTAATCTACACAGTATCCAGAAGCTCAAGGGCGTTACCCCTTGGACATCTCAGTAGAAACAAAAATAGAAAAATGATTATGTAAGAAAGATCTATAGAAGAGTTTCTTGTCTAAGGTGAATCCCTGTGATATCTATGGGAGACCCACAAGGTTATTAAGAATGTTATGCCAGCAAAAATACTGCCAATGTGGATGGAGAGAGTAAAGTAGGAAATGAAAGCAAAATTATTGGACCCCAAAAGCTCTACTAGCAGGAAGTGAGCTTATAAAACTACTCACCAAAAACATCTGCCACATTTCATGACAAAGTAAACGTGATTCACAGGAGGAATCCACAGTCTGTAGACAAGGTCTGGAAACCACTGAGGATGATCCTCAGCCCAGGTCTTGAAATCTATAGAGTTTGCCCAGCTGATTTTAGATATTTTTTGGTACTGTTTCCTTCCTTCTATCAATTTTCTTCTTTTTTGTTAACTGGAATTTTTTAAATTTATTTTTTAGTTGTAGATGGACACAATACCTTTATTTTATTTTTATGCAGTGCTAAGGATTAAAACCATGCTAGGCAAGCATTCTACCACTGTGCTACAACCCCAGCCCTAAACTGGAATTTTTAAAACTATTATTTTATGCTTGTTTCAACATTATATTTCAGGAACATATAATTAATTTCTTCACTTTCACAGATCCACTAATGGATAAGACTTATGCTTTAGAACGGATTATTGCAGAAGCCTCAGTCATACTTTAATTGGATGACTTAGATGATGAAATTTGGGAATTCTGAACTGGTGGTGTTTTGATAAAATTTTGGACACTGTGTTGAGACTGTAGTGAGTTGAGACTTTTGAGGAAAGTTAGGTTCCTCAGTTTTATAGCTAGCACAGACATAAATATTTTGGGGACCAAAAATGGACCATGCTGGGCAAAATCATAGCCCCCAATAATGTTCATGCCCTAGTTCATTGAATCTATAAATAGATTACCTTACAATGCAGAAAGAATTTTACAGAATTTTTTTTAAAAAAATCAATTTAAAATATTGTGCCAATGTGGTTAAGGTTAGAGAATATTTTCCCATATTTTTAATGGTGCATTGTAGTTATACATAATGGTGGGATGTGTTGTTACATACTCATTTAGGCACACAATATAACAATATAAATTGGCCAATATAATTTCTGGAGATACATAGAGAATTTGATATGGATAGATTATTATTTAGATGAGGCTAATCTAATCACATGAGTTATTATAAGGAGACAAATTTTCCTGTAGCTAGAGAGATACTGGTGTGTGAAGGGCTTTATCCATCATGGGTGTTCTTTGAAGATGCAAATATGGGACATATGTGAAAAATATGAATGGTCTCTATAATCTGGAAAAGAGGAGGATTGTCTCAATCTTCAGAAAGGAAGGCAGTCTTGGGTTTTGGGTATAGCTCTATGGCAAAGTGCTTGCAAAATGGTAAGGCCCTGGCTTCAATTCACAGCACAGTGAAAAAGAGTAAAATATTTTTCTAAAATGAAGAAAAGTCAAGAAAAAAAATACAATTGTGTCAATAACTTTATATTAGCCCTGTGAGATCTTTGTCAGATTCTTGACCTATAGAATGATAAGATCATATATTTGTGTTATTTTTATTAATATTTTCAATAGAAGTTAATACATGTGAAAATTTTGCCCATGAAATGCTAGTTTCAGACACATATGGATACACACACACACACACAGACACACACACACTATACACAAGCAGTATTCTTTGCACAGTAGTGTGGAAGAATAAAAATACTTTACAAACTGAAAAGTATTTCAAAAATTAATGTAAAATTATAATTTACCCCTCAGTCTGTTAAAGTTTTAGTTAAAATGTCATTATCTCTGTTTATGTCTTATACATATACAGAGAATTGAAATAATAAAACTGATATTATTTAATACTGCTTTATTTAAAGTATTTTGAATCATTGAGAGTGAAAGTACTTTGTTTCTCGTAAAGCACTTAGTATAAACAACTGATGCACTCAACACTTGCTCTGGAAGTGTTGGGATTATGTTGGGGGATGATAGAGATTATGTGGCATGGAATGAAAGCCAATATTAACAGGTTAAAATAGTATATGTTTCATAATAAAATAGTTCCACAATCGCCAAATCACAGAGGTGGAGAAAAGATAGGAAGTCAAAAGGATTAGGTGTTGTCAGGGGAGGAGGCAGGTGTGATTATAAAGGAATAGCAAGTCCTGTGGTGATGGAACAGCCGGGTTGTGGAGATGGCTATAGGATGCTTCCCAAGTGCAGTGGCACAGAACCTCATGTGCATGTACAGAAGCTCATGTGCATGTACACACACAAGCACAAGGCACCACAGGAGTGTTGCAAACCTGGGAAATTATGAATACTCCTGTGGGAATTATATCAATGATCCAGATTTTGGTGTTGTACTATTGTAATTCCAGATGTCACCATATAACTTATGGTACAAAGAGAGATTCTTTCCTATACTTTGGCAAACTGTCACATCCTTTTTGATGTTTAGATTAATGCCCAACATGTTATCTTTTGTGCTCTCTGTATCTGAAAAGGAATCCTCAGCACTCCTTTAACAGGCAGGTTTTTGCAAACATCTCTCCCTCTACAACATACTCATTATTTCCTTTGACATCACTTCCCTCATTGCATCATTGCATAGACAAGGTCACCTTTGCTCAGTACTTCTGCCTACCTGTCTAGATTCTCTCCAGTGAATAGTGGCAGGGCCAACATTCCCACTATGGCTATGGCTTCTCTGCTGATTACATTTCATTGGAATTTCATTTCAAGTGTTGACGCTATTTATTTCATTGCTGCACCTTCATTTTTGTATGACTCATATTGTTTTATCTTTTTTCTATAAACTATTACCAGGCTCCATCACTAGAAGATAAGGAGAAAAGGTAGAAATGCAACCATCTGCCTTCCTGTATATGGGTAAACTGAATTACATCTGCATTGACCAATCAATGATGGACATTGTAAGAAATAACATAATGATCGGTTATTGGTCATAATGTACAGAGTAACTTATGCAAAACACCTAACAGTTAAGTTTGTTCTTTGTGCAATTTCTCAAATTTATTTTGGTTATTGGCATTTGAACAATTGCTACTGGTTAACTGATTTTTTTAACTAAAGAAAACCCTGGTAGATTGGAATCTGTGCCTATAAGAACTATGCAAAAAACTATATGGAAATATGTCCTGGTTTATAATGTAAAACTTAGTTTTATATTGGAATTGTCAATTTAAAATAAAAAGAGAACCACTGGTAAAGATGGCCATTGACCAACATTATCATCTAGTTTGTGCATCTAGTTACACATGACAAATGTACTTTATATTTCAATCATATTACTCATAAAAGTTTTGTACTTTCCTGAACATGCCTCAACCTCCATGGCATTTCTCAAACTGCCAGATTAAAAAAAAAAGGATTTTTAAAATATTTTCTAAACTAATGTAGTTAATTACAACAGTTGACATGGACTCAGTGATCTTATCAATTCTATTTTTTAGTCATCCTTTATTTCCACCAATTATATAAATCATGGTCATTTAGGCAGGAAAAACTCATGCTTATCTCTATTTTTTAGAGGGTAAAAAAATGTGACAAAGAAGGATCTATGAGGGTAGGTCGTGTGCACACACGTGTTTTTACAACAAAATCACAAGGTTATGAATAATATATTGATATAATTAAAGAACTGGCTTAAAGGCAAGTGAACTAAAGGCAGATTTGGTTTTGGATAAAAAAATATAAACAGTAGGATTCTCCAGGGACAGGTGCTATTGCCAGTTTTGTTACCATCTTCATTAAATGTCCTTTGGTGTTATTCTGAAACAAAATACTTGGTGAGACAAGCCATTTCTTTGGCCCAGTACACAATTTGTCATGAAATCATCATAAGGGTTGGGCTGTAAACAGGAACTGATACTAATTATTAATCATTTCTTCAGTTACAACCAGGAAGAATGAGATATTTACCAGAAAATCTATTATTAAAGATATGTCTCTGTGTAGAAATGGATTTTTAATTATTTAGTTACTGATTTTTCTAATTTTAAAATTAATGTAGTGAATTATAGTAGTTGACATGGACTCAGTCATCTTATCAATTCTATTTTTTGTTCATTTTTCATTCTGCACCAATTATAGCATTTGTGTTTCAAAGTATTGCTTAAATCCCAATGTCACATATTTGACATTCTAGAATACTTCCATCACTATCAGCACAAGAATTTAACTCATTTCCACTCTTTAGAAGCATTCATTTGTAGTGTTTCTCTCATTTTTAAGAGAATTGAGAAATTGGCAAAAATTTAGTTAAATAGAGGAAAATAAATTTTACTGGAAGGATTTTACAAAGAAGGATCTGTGGGGGTGGGTCAAATAGATGGTATTACTAGGAAAATAGATGATTTTTGTCCCAGTATCTCTTTGCATAGTTAATAGAAAATAAATGTCTTAGTCATTTTCTGCCTTAAATATTATAATTTACAAGACAGCTACAAATTATTGTTACTTTGTAGGGTGCTTTTTGCATAAAAGCATCCCAATACTGTTCTTTCCAAAAGATCACCACAAAATCAGTACCATAGATCAAAAAGATTTCAAAATAATATTTTTACTTTTAAACAATTTCAAAATATTGATCAGGTGAGGGCTGTTTATTTATTGGCTTGCTGGTACCATATTCAATATAATAATATATTTAGCTATGTAGAAACAATAGATATTTAATATAGTAATTATCTTAGTCTACTCAGGATGCTATAGACTGGTGAGCATAGAAACAACAATTTATTTCTCATAATTATAGAAGTTAGGAAATCAAAGATCAAGGTGCCAGCAGATTCTGTGTCTGGAGAGGGTGCACCGGTGGCACCTTCTCAGTATGTGTACACATAATAGAAGGGGAAGGGAGCTCTCTGGAGTTGCTTTTATAAAGACACTGTTATAGTTTACATATGAGGTGTCTCCCCAAAACTCCTGCATTAATGCAGAAATATTAAAAAGTAAAATGATTAGAGTATGAGAGCTGTAAACTGATCTATCCATCCTCATTTGAATGCAAAGACTGGTGATAACTGTGGGCAGAGAGGGTGTGGCTGGAGGAGGTAGATCTCTAAGATGTACCTTAGAAGGCATTATCTTCTATGTGGTCCCTCCCCCCAACCCATCCCTCCCCCTTTTCTTTCTCTCTTGGCTTCCTGCTATCATAAATTAAGCAAGACTCCTCTGCCACACTCTTCCACCATGCTGTTCTGCCTTACCTTGGCCCCAGAGCAATGGAGTCACCTGACCATGGAATGAACTTCTAAAACTGTGATCCAAAGGTTTCTTCCTTTAAATTGTTCTCATCAAGTATTTTGATCACAACCACAAGCCAGCACAGATACCAATACCATTAATGAGTGTTCCACCTTCATGATCCAATCACCTTCCAAAGGTACCACCTCCAAACCATCAGGATGGGACTAGGTGTTAACATATGGATTTGGAGGGAGGCACAGATATCCAATTTACTAGAGTAATGTTAATTATGTGTTTTGGGCAATGAGCATTCCATGTTTTGGAACATTGAAACCATAAATAAAAGTATTGAATCAATGTTTTTTAAATAATATAGTTAAATCTCTTTAAAAATTTTTTAACATCTTTTTTAGATTTATGAAGATACATAGATAATTTTTATACCTTTTTCCAGAAAGAGTTTCACAGACTATAAATACCTAATGGTAAATCCAAAAACCAACTATATATGAGAAATATAATAAATTATGCGTCAGTAATATACTTTGAATTTATATGGTAAATTGAGAATGTCACTGACACTCAGATCCAGTCAAATGCTGTATTGCTAATTAGTATAAATAGGACTATTACAAAATTGTGTTTTATGATATAGAGAATAGATTTCTTCTAAATTTTCAATATGCATTGCACCTGAGATTCTTAACTATTTTTGCCCACATTTAATCCATTCTCTACTCTTCCATAATACTATGAGTTATGCAAGACTTTGTAAATGTGATTAAAAATTTAAGCATCATTTAAGGAGTTAGGAATAAATGGAAGTCTATTCAAACACCTATACTAAGTTTTCTTAGTCTTAATCAATTTTTTTGTTTTGTAATGCAAATGAAAGAAAGAAGATGAAATTTTAAGAACCTCTTATGAGCCAGACACACACTGACGTTTTGTATCATTCTTCACATCACAAAAGTGAATGGTTATTATACTCTCCATCTTCCAAAGGTAAAATTGGACCTGCAAAATATAAATTGTCCTGTCCCCAAATGTGAAAACAAAGAAGATAGTATGCCAGGAGCTAAGGCCTCAGATCTCTATGAATTCTAGGCTTGTATGTTTTTTTTTTTTTTTTTTTTTTTTAATATATTACCTTCAATGAACAAATGAAATGTTTCAGAGGTAGGCTTGATTTCCTATTTTTGATTGTGTTCTCCCCAAGGAGGTGAACAATACTGGTTTTATATTTCCTACAATGTAATTCTCTGCCACATTAAAATGATAAAACTCACTCCAGAAAATTAAATTTGAGATACATGTAAACTGCTGAATCATGACATCAGACATTTTGTCTTTTACAATGACCATTCATGAATCCCAGACTATGACAATATTGCAAATTTTGGGTTGGCAATAAATTGCGAGGCACAGATTTTAATGATGGAGTTAAAGAGAAGCATAGGCTCCTAGAGACAAAAGGGACCTGGGGACCATCCATTTCAACTTGGTTTAGTCTATTGGTAGAAAGCACCAGAGCCTGGATATTTTATTAGCTTTCCAAATCTCTGACAAGGTTCTTGTCCTGGGGCTGTTTTGTGTAAGGAGGGATGGTGTGAACATCTGGAAGAAAGATGATCATCACAGTACGCAGAGAGGGCACATCTTCTAGCACCAAATAATTCATATCAGCCTAAGAGGGAACTGTGTTCGAAAGAGTATCATTTGGGAAGACAGTTTCCAACAATAAATTTTTAAGAATTACATAGATGTACAATTGTAAATTTAAAAACAAGTCATTCTATATATATTATATTTAAATTATATTTTACACTTACCCCTATGCAATTTGTTTTAATTTAACACATACTGTTTGAGTTCCTCACTCAATAACACTAAACGAACAAATAACAAAAAATAAAAACAAAACCTCCTTGAGTATAAACAGTGATTTATGGAAATTAGGTTGTAAATGTCTGCATATGGCATGTGCGTGCTTCTAAAGTTTCACTTAATTACCTTCTATGTTTTTCATTGGGGAAAATAAAGATAATGTGGTGCTTTGTTTTACTTAACAAATGACATTTTTTTCATTGATTCATGAAACATATTTTTAAGACATCTATTAAGGGCAAAGTCAAGATCATGTGTTATCACTGATAAAGGAGGCTTGTGAAGTAGTTATAGTGAAGTAGCTACTACGAAGGAATAACATGTTAGCATCTAGATGACACTATTCAACATGCTTTATAAAATTTCTGTGAAGCCTCTGATTTTATTGAAGTAAATGCATTCTTCAGATGAGGTAACAATTCATCTCTAAATTAGAAACTCATATAAACGTTTAGATAGATATAAGAAAGAAATGCATAAGGATGTTTCATTTATAAATCATGTTTCTGATTGGACTAGATGATGTAGGATTACTTAATTCTACAAATGATTACAACAGATCTTTGTCTTTAATATTTTCTTTTTCTAAAAGTCTGAAAGAGAGATTTTAAAGTAAAATGAAGCAAAATTTTTAGAAATACATACATAGAAAACTACCAAATAATAATTTTCTTAGGACCTTGAATGACCTAGTGAAAGGAGCTCAGATATATGTTATAAATGCTAATACAAAAAAAATCTGGTCTTTTTATATTTGAGGGAAAAGAGGAAGGGTGATTATATCTTCTTTAGTATCCTTCATTTGCATATCATTTGCATATCCATATAGCAAAAGTGTGTAGACTAGAATGTAGTAGTTGAGATTTGTCTTCTCAGGGTTAATTCTGACTCCCTTGTTTTAACAAGCAATATGCTATGAGTTGATCTGTGTCCCCCTGAGAAAGGTTTGCTGGAGTTCTAAAATCTGGTACCTCAGAAAACGATTTCATTTGAAGGTAGGGTCTTTATGGTGAAATCAAATTAAAGATGAGATTATTAAGGTAGGTCCTAATCTAATATGACTGGTGATTTATAACAAAAGTAGGAGCTGGGGGTGTAGCTCAGTGGTAGAGCATTTGTTTAGCATGGGTGAGGCCCTAGGTTCCATCCCCAGTTCCCCCAAGCAAACAAAAACACAAAAATGACTGGGGCACATCTGGACACAGAGAGAGACACATAGAGGTGAGAAAAAAATGAAGGGACATAGGGAGAAGATAGTCATCTATAGGTCAAGAAGAGGGTCCCGAAACAGATCCTTTCTTCACAGCTCTCAGAACCACACTTGTTGACATATTGATTTTTGAACTCCTGGTCTCCAGAACCATGAGAAAGCACATTTCTGTTATTTAAGCCACCCAATCTATAGTACTGTTACAGCAACCTTGCAAATTAATACACTGTGCCTCCATTTTCCTCAGCAAGCTCCTCCCGACCCTACACAACAGGAATGTCTCTAACACACCCATTTACCCAGCAGTCACAGCAGCATGCAGATTGATAGCTCCTTCCCAGGACTTCTTTTGTGAAGCCCCCTCTTCCCTGTGGTTTCGGTTCTGCAAAGAAGACAGCCAGATAAAGAAGACCCAAAGGAGTTCAGCTCATAAAGAGATGCATAAACAGGAAATGATGAGTAATAGTTAGGGAGAACAGGAGGGTCCTGCAGAGACAGTTGAGCTGCTGTTGCAAACCAGGTATAAAGAGCAGGCCCCTTAAGTAGAACCGGGTTGAGCTGAGATTCTAGTTCTTCAACTAAAAGGCTCTTAATGATTAAAACTAATATTTACTTTCCTTATTTTCAGGAGGACAGGTAAATATGCACACACTCATGTATAGTAGCAATGATATTTGAGGAATAGAAAGTGAATTTTGCTTGATTTCTGTTTTTGTAAGCTTTTTCACAGCTATGACTAAAGGACCCAACCAGAAAAAAATTGTAGGGGAGGAAAGCTTTCCTTGAGAACTCACGGTATCAGAGGTCTTAGTCCATAGAAGGCCAGCTCCATTTTGGGGGGTTCAAGGTGAGGATGAACATCATGGTGGGAGAGGGTGGCAGAGGGAAGCAACTCACATCACCATGATTAGGAAGCAGAGAGAGAGCGAGGGAAAGACAGACTCCATTCTCTAGATACAAAATGAATTCCCATAACCACTCCCCAATTCCTACCACCTCTTAATCCCACCAGGGATTATTTCACTGATTGGGTTAAGACTCTTACATTCCAATTATTTCACCTCTGATCCTTCCAGCATTGTCTCACATGTGAGCTTCTGGGGAACACCTCACATCCAAACCATAACAATTTGCATTTATATATCTAGTCTACATGCTCACACTTCAGAGGATTTTTTCAGCAGAATTCTGGTGTTGTTTCAGTTAGATATTTTTCATCCACTCCTTCTCACCAACATATCTGTGTCAGATGACCTCATTTTGAAGCTAATTAATACTAGGGCTATATTATTGCACTTCTCAGTAAAGCAGATACTGATTATGTGATGTACTGCTCCTATTCAACATGTGCTCTGAAGTGGGGTAACAGAGTTTTGAGACCAGTTGTTAGGGTCTGTAAACAAGTCAAGATAGCGCCTGGCATTTTGCCAGGGGGAGTGGTTTGTGAAGTAATGCCAGCGAGCCATTAAGTGTGGAGATTCCTTATTGGTTGACTGCTGTATCTAGTTTATGTTAATTAGATAAGCTGTGTGGAATGTATATATACCCCTCCTGTCCTACAATAAAGGGCTCCCACTCCTGCTGTATCAATGTACACAAGTTATTTTGCTGCAGCCGGACTGCGGCAAAAATCTATGAAAATATCCTTTAAATATTATTTGTTAGAAATCACTAATTCAAGAAAAATGCTTCCTTTATAATTGTTCAGGAAGTCACAAAGCAAATTGAAAAATTAACATACGTCTTGATTTTTTAAATACTTACTAAAATACCTTTCCATACATAAGAAAATTGCCTCCCCAACTTCTCTTTTTACCCTTAAGTAGTAAGCTTTGAGTTTCTTCTTTTTTTTAATACATCATTTTGGTCATTTGTTTTTAAATAACACTAAATTTATAAAACTTTTAACTCTTTAACCTGATTATAATAGAAATGGTGTTGATAGCTTGGTCTGTTTATTAGAAATTTGAATTGTGTTTTAGTTTTTTCCCTGTGACCTAATATTCAAAGTGCATGGAAATACTCAAGACCTATAAAACACTCATGTTTTGAGATCACATTTCTCTGTTCCAAGTGGAGAAAAAAAAATACTTGTTTTGATAATCATTCTCATGGAACACAGTGACACAGAAATCAAGTGTCAGGATCTTTTCATATATCCTACCTCTTTATATGAAGATCTTCTCATGTAAAACCACAAAGAATATGGCTTATCTGTCTAATTTTTCCATCATTAAAAGGATATAAAGATGGCAAGCTTGACCTCAAAATCCTTAGCCAGTTTGTTCTGCAGGCAGAATTGGTGAGACAAAAAGATAAACACAGGACAAATTTCACTGCTTACAAAGTTCTGCATATTTATGTCCCTTCCCAATCACTTGTTAAAATCCTACCCCAAGTGATGATATAAGGAGAGTGTAATCTCTGAAGTGACTTCTGTCCAGTCATCTTTCTCATTCCTTTTGGAAATATTAGCCCTACTTATTAAAAAACCAAGGACCCTCACCCCCACCCATCTGGTTTGGAAGATACTGTGCCTGACCCTTATTCCCTGTGGCTTGGTGGGTTTTTCAAGACTGAGGCACCACTAAGCAGATGAACATATCACACAGCACCATCACAGTCTTCTTAGGCTCTTTGCTGGAACTAGGTATAAAGAAATTGTCTGCTTTCTTCTATACTGTAATATTGGGAACATAGGAGCCAGGAGGTTTCAGGAAATACCAACACAGAGAAAGGAAATAAGAGAGTAAGCCCTGGATTTTGCCATAACAAAAATCAGCCCAAGACCTAGACTTCTCGAATGCATGATCCAACATGTTTCTTTTCAGTTTTTGAAATATATTTGTTTTCATCTAAGACTGGTGGAGTTTCTATCACTATCCCAAATTTTCCTGATACCATCATTATTACTTCCTGTCAAGTTCCAAAAGAATCTCATTTAATTTAACAAGAGCTAAAGTCAAATTGTTTAGCTACTATTTGAAACCAACAATATACAGTACATTGTATTCTCTTATACTAACCTCAAAGCATGCCACTGGTAATATGAAGTGTATTTTTACTTGGAAGATCCTGCCCATTTTATATTTGAAAGTGAGCAACACAGTTTCATATCTTTAGTTCATAATATTTTCCTAAGTTTTCCAACATGCTGTTGATTTTTAGAACATGCTGTTCTTTTCCTTCAGGTAATTACATTTGAAATAATCCATGGGGCTATCAAGATGACAATAATTTTTGCATGATAATTATTGCTGTAGAAATCACTTCATGATTTTTTTCATCTTTTTTATAATTTATAAAAAACGAGGATCTTATGACTTTTTATGTTAAAAACACTCAAATTATTTTCAAATATTTTGAAATTGGCAAAATGCAAAAAGATTTCTGCCAAACAAGTTTTACTTGAATTTTTAAATGTGTGGGTTTTTGATGGAAACTTAATCCATATGTTTCTCATTCATTTACGATTAGCTGACAAAAATGTTGTTTTGTAAGAGTTTGATATCCATTATTTTTAAAAATATGCTTATTAGTTTTCTTTTAGCTACACAATGTTGAAAGGAAACCTATTCAATAATTTGAGATTTGTATTTTCTTATTCTATTTTTGGATTCAAGTGGCATGTTACATTAAAATTCAGGAAAGACATTTGTCAAATGACACATTCTATAAGGACAATCTGAACTTTATATCTCATTTGATGAAAGACCATTTTTACCACTTGAAGAACAATATATTCCTCATGATTTCTCCATATGCTGAAAATGAAATGGCATTACCACTCCTACCTAACAATTATCAACATTACAAATGTCACTTTCTGCTTGGTGTTTTAAACATATGATTTGCTGAACTCCAAATAGCAGGAAAATTATATCTTGTTCCCCACGGTTCACAGACAGGAAAGTCAACAAGCCCACCCTTCTTGCTCTAAGGAGCATTTCCCAATGTAACATAGGAAAGTACTTAAGTTGCAAACACTGTATGCATGTATCTGTAAGTACATATGTGTGTGTTTGTCAGTTGATCTCTGTGTAAGAAACATCAATGTGCATAAGACCTAAAATTCTCTGATGATCTTTTAGTTCTACAATCTGGAACTTGAAGCTTCCTAGTACTCCACATAAAGGAAACGGTCATGAGAAATGTTTTAAGCTCTAGGCATGGACATCTCCTCCCTCCATTGGCATGACTTAAGTATATGATATACTGAAAAACAGTCCACTATTCTGGTCATCAAATTGTTTGATTCTTTCCATGTGTTTAGTATATTTTTACCTCGCCAAAGGAGTCACTTCTATCCAGTCCTTTCTCACCATTGACTATATGATTAAAAACGAGGATCATAGGAAATGTGTGGTGATCTAGATATTGCCATTGTTGACCCAAGAACCTGTCAATGAAAATGTCCCATTGCCTGTTGGGAGCCCTGTATGAACTTTGAGCCATTGAGGCAGGAAAGTTGCTTTGCT